CGTTATTCTTTCGTAAAAAGTATACTTTTATACTTTGCATCTCCTTGTAGACTGTTGGGAGTTGGGAGTTTTTAACAAGAAGAACTTTAAAGAACTCGTAAGTTGTTACACACAAACTTATTCTGCATTGCATTAATCCGGATTGCAAGTTGCAATTGATGCGGCTTGGCACAACTTGTGCTCCTTCGTACGGCTGATTAGCTTGGCGCATTGCCGTAGAATAGTGGCGCCGAATCACTGCGAAAATTTTAATAAACAGAGTACATTTGCTGAATGGAAAATATAAATAGATGCTTTTAGTATTTAGTTTTAAAAATAAGGAGTATCCTTTCAAGCCCGCCGTCTTTTGCGATTATTTGATGAGGAAAAATTATATACTTAAGTGAAGATACTACTAGAAGAAAAACAAATATGTAAATTGTTTCAACACTGGGTGCTTAAACAGAATAAGAAACCAAATATATTAATTCTAGCAAAAACACTCGACGCCATTACGTAGCTCCCTGTAAAAACATGGCGGGCATTTTCTTTTTCCCAATCCTCAAAGATTAACGATGTAAACAACTCCTGTTTTTTGTTCCTTTTACGTTGGCAGTAATTTCAAATTAGTAAACACGAAAATTGTCTTCGTGGCCACTTTAACATTTTAGAACAGAGGTTTCTTAAGCGTATTAAGTATGAGGATGCTTCAGAATATTACTTTTTCATAAACCTGACAAAGTAACAATATTTTTTACAGACAACGGAGAAGCTTTTGACCTGCATCTCATCTGAAGGAAAGTGATGATTAGGCCATGAAGGTGGAAGCGAGCTTCACTCAGAAGAACGAAGTAAATGCGTACAAAAGACGTATCAAATCAAAGTGATTTAGGACCGAACCGAACCTACTATACGTTGCATAATGTACATTCACAAAATATCTTCTTGAGATAAAGCAAAGAAGAAGAAGACAATAAGCTTTTTATAAACAGACTCGACCTTTCATATACAACATTTAGATCTCTGGTTAAATAACGAGAAGTCAGATTAACCATTGATACTAAGGCCGATGTTTGCCAAAGCCTAGTTGCTTTATGTGGTCAAATGGCCACCATCAGGCCTAATCCCGCCACAGTAAGCATCTAATGGCAGCCATCCATACATTCATTAGAGGACCACTCAGTGGAGAGCGCTGGAATAGTGTTGTTGGATACTCTGCTCATATCGATCTTTTTAGTCTTTATTTACTTTTATCTGTAGAATTTAGCAACCATGGAGTGTTTTTTTGTGCTTGGCTGAAGCTAGATGTTGTTGGTAAGAAGCATGTTTTGGTGTACGTAAAATATGACCAAGGTTCTACTGTGGATAAATATATAAATAATTCCTAAAATCCTTCAAAATCAACATACCAACGGTTCAGATATTATTCGGAAAGAAGCTAATTCTACGTGATTGTGAAGTTTTGAATTTCCTGAGTCTTTCATATTATTTTCATAAGGTGTTAATGTTGTACATGATTGAAAAATATTGCTAATTTTAAGTTACTTAGGTAATGAAGTCAATAATTTTCCATAGACAAGACAATTATTTGTATCGATAAACCGAAAAAATATTAACCGATTTTTAGCGACACTCAAACCAACATCACACTATACCACTGAGGTCAGCGCGACCGCACTAAGTGTTAGTAATATTTTATGACTTTGTTAGTGGTCTTCTGACAACTACGGATAATGGAACTCCTGTATTTTTCCAGAAAAGCTAAAATGGATACCTACATAAATACAAATTAAACCTCCATCTAATAATGACTTCGTTGAATCAGACACAAGGAAAAACTTTTAGTGCTATTTTGTTATTCAAAATCTAACTGAATTAAAAGTGTACTAATGATTTAATGTTTTGACTGTTGTTCTACATTCTTTCCCTTCAAAATAAGAAGATGGCAAAGGATTTCTGCTACATTTTTTTAAAGTTATTAAACCATTACAACAACATATTTATGAGTTAGTAAATCTAACATTTCACGAGAGTTTAAAGCAAAATAATTTACATAATGTACCGCAACGATAAACGCTTTAGTACACAACGGCCCTAACGACCCGAAAGATTTGATTTATTACCAACTGGGCGATTCACACAATAATCATCTTTAAAATTGTTACCCTTAAAATAATACAGACAATATGAAAGGACACTGAAAATGCCGTAAAAGTATACGAGAACTAGCATATTCTTTTATTAACCTCGTGGGTAACAACTGACGACACAATGAAACACCTGATATACTCATTTAAGCACATATTTTGGAAAAATCCAGTTAATTCAAGTGTTCAATATTCTACCCAAACTTCATTCTTTAATGAAAGATTTATTTTGGGACCTCTGAATTTAGAATCTGACTGAATCTGAAACAGATCGACAGAATAGGCAAAACTGGGCACGATTACTGGATCTAGCTTACCATTGATTACTCATAGATGCATAGTATAGTTTCTCCACACACAGCTGAGAAGAAAGTGGCACTTTTCTTCTATTAAATCACAACTCTGATACCTCAGATAGGTTTAGCAGAATCCTTACCGTAGTATCAAAGCAAGCCTTTCCACGAATGAGATTATTTCTGGTATTGTATTTACCTCCATTCCTCCGCTCTTTCAAAGGCTCGAATAATACCATCAAAAAGAGGGCAAGGATTAATTACCGCAATGAAAGAGTCCCCTGGAGGTCTTTGGTGCCTCAACGCCTCGAGGTTTATCTGATGCTTTATTTGATTATTTCCTCACGGTATTGAAGGTAAAGAGTAAATACGCGACAAACACTCGGAGGAATTGCTTCTAAGAACGGGGGTATTTCGCGGATTCTCGCGAAATCTCTAAAAGAAAGTGTAGAACTTTTAATAGATAGCTAATATAAGCGTAAACAAATCCAAAAGAAATATTCTTGCTTAGGCGTTAAGCTCCAATTTAAAGACAATGTTATGAAATAATTTCCATTTTTTCCGCTTCCAAATTGTAAGAGATCAACGAAGTAATTACTTAAAGTGATATCCTAAAATAGCTACAAGATACATAAAGAATGAATTGAATCAACGACAAGAAATAAAATTAAAGTCTGCCAAGAAAGTTCCGCAATATCGCAAGACTTAGAAGACGATATCTAAACTTTAAATTGGACTCATCAATCACAAAAACTCCTAGAAAGCTGGAAATCGATGTTGTGTCACATCCACAAAAACTTTGTAGCGTTTAAAGTTTGTTATCAAATACCTACATTTCTTCTTTGTCAGAAGATCTTTTGTTTTAGATATTACGTCATCTATTATTTCCTGGAAACATTGAACAATTAATTTATTTTAATGTCTGTGTTATTAGAAAGAAGACGTATTACAACATCATAAATTAATTAAAATTGGAGCTCCTCAAGGAACATTTCTGAGACCAGTTTTGTTTTTGGTTTGTATTATTGTTTTCCTCTCATTTAATCTAAGTTAATAAAGTCTCAATGCTAAGTATAATTAAATGAAGCAGAAAACTTCAATTTAATTCTTAATTGGTTTTGTACATGGGTAATAGACCTTCATTTTGTGTCTTCGCGATGTTAAAACTCTCAAGATACATTTGATACTTAAGGAAAATTACAACAGTAAACAAATCCTGTGAAATATTTAATAAAGCGTGCGCCGTCATAATAAGCGACATTAGCGAAAAAGCGCCACTGGAGGCGAAAACGTAAATTAATATTTATAGGGCTTTTATCTAGGGATTTACGTTATGACGGTGAATAATCCGGGTATACTGCCAGACGGGGATCCGCTGACGGAATTTGCGCAATTTAATATGCCGCCAAATTGGGGGTAATAGTACGACTTAACGGGGTTACTTTGATGCCTATTTATGCCTGTGTTCCTATTTTCAACGATAAGTAAAACCTTTAAAACTGTCTGACCTGATTGATATTATCACGAAATTCAAACACCACTTTTCCAGCTAGACTGACTGACATTTTCATGTCATTCAAAAGCCCCATTTCCAGTCTTTTCGCAATTTCGAAAATAGCTACATTTACTCTCTCTCAAGCGTTGTCTTATCGACGATAAATACGATAGTAAAACACTATTTCTTATATCTAAAGGATTCCACAAACGGCATCCAATACTCTCTGGCAAACAGAGCTCAGTCAACAATCAACATCCACAACGCCGTCGGCGAGAATATGGCTCCTTATATCGAGAAATGTCTGTTCCCTTATGTGTAAACTTTGCATAAAAGTATTAGATTGAATAATACAAAAAGACCGTGGGTAAATAAATTAATGTGAATTCGTAGGTCATAACATTTCAATTCATATCATTTGCTCTGTTTCACTTTACTATCCCGTCACCAATAAAAGTGTGGAAGTATTTTTTTAAATGTCTTGCGATCTGTTCTAAAAAAACTGTCAGATACAGCAGCACCGGACCAAGATGATCCTAGAGGGAATCTAGAAGTTTTTTTCTGACACGACTTGCGTTCTTCAGACGGAGTATTTTCTTTATTTTTGCATACAAGTGCCTTTACCTTAACATAATATCATCAGCTATAACAGCTCTAGTACAAGAAGATGCTAGGGAAAATCTAGAAGGTAATTTTCTGATACGACTTGCGTTCTTCAGACGGAGTATCTTCTTTATTTTTGCATACAAGTGCCTTTACTTCTCAAAACATATTATCATCAGCTATAGCATCTCCAGTCCAAGAAGATGCTAAAGAAAATCTAGAAGGTATTTTCTGATACGACTTGCATTCTTTTCAGACGGAGTATCTTGTTTATTTTTGCATACAAGTGGCTTTACTTCTCAAAAAATATCATCAGCTCCAGTCCAAGAAGATGCTAGCTAGGGAAAATGTAGAAGGTATTTTCTGTCACGACCTGCGTTCTGTTCACACAGAATATTACCTATTCTTGTATCATGTTATTTTTGTATATGTGCCTTTACTTCTCAAAAGATATCATCAGCTATAACAGCTCCAGTCCAAGATAATGCTAGAGGGAATCTAGAAGGTTCTACTCACGTTCTCCTCGACGGTCTTCTTGATCTTAGCGCTGGCCTCGCTGACCTTGGCTCCGGCCTTGTTGACAGCGGAGTACAGGAAGTTGCCGAGCGACTTGGCGCCGGCCACTGCCTTGGTGGTCACTGGAAGACAGGTGGTCAGTGAGAATATTGGGCAGATGTTTGGGGGATAGGTGGTATTTGAGATATTGGGCAGATATTTGAAGGTAAATAATAGCGAAATTTGGTGGAAGTGGATATTGTTTCTGGGAAGATCCCCAGAAACTGTGTAGATTATAGTAAAGATGTAAATAAGAAAAGACGGTTTCATTAAGTGGTCAGTTATTTGGAGGGATTCCAAGTAAAATATGGTGTTAGTGATGATAGTTTCTGGATCACCAGATACCATGTAAATAAAAGTAAAAACGTAAATCAATAAGGACCAATAACAAAAAAAAATTCACAAAACCAAAATTTACAAGTGTACCTATTTGATGTTTCATTTATTTCTTTCTGTACCCATATCATTTATTTATACAAAATAAACGAGACAAAGAAAAATAATACCGTATAATACCTTAGGGATACCAGCAAACAATCAAAAAAGTAATTCATTTTCCGAGTTGTCATTATCTTTGAAACTTTTCCGTAACTTCGAGGATTTACGTCAACAGACCCGACAATGCTCAATGGTTATTATCGCGGAATCACTCGATAAATCCCCAAAAGATGGCGTACAATCTCGGAACAAGTCGGATTTGTGCCCTCGAGGGGCGATCCTAAGCAAACCGAGTGTATTAGTGGCGTCACCTGGGCTTATAGACAACTTAAGGGTGGTGCCCAAAGTGGGATATAGCTGCATGTTGAAAGATGAGATTGGTTGTCCTAAAGTAACATAAAAACAGGTTTAGTAGATCTAAGTCTGAACTTCTCACGTGTCATGCTAAGGGGACAGGTATACCTACAGAGTATTTCAGGGCATTCAGTCGATGTGTCATCATGGTCATTTCCGCGCGTAACCGACGTCATCGGTCATTTTTTATCCAGCATAATGGGTCGTCGATTTTCGACCTAATGAATTCTGGTTCTGCTCTTCTTTTTCGAAATTTCTTTGGTTTAAATCTCTCTCGCACAGAGCGATGCCAATATTAGCTACAGTGACATAAAGACTCGAAACTATGTAAAGGTAGATGTGGTCTTCTCCAAGACCTAGCATTGCTTTAAATGCCATAACTGTAAATTATTTACCAAATTGTTACTGAATTTAACTGTTACGGTTAGAAAAATAAATTACTTAACGGCCACAAAGACTTATTTACTTCATTTTGCGTATTATTTTAAACGGCGAAAGTGGTAAGCGGTTATTCTATAACGGTCGCCGTTGATTGCCAGCGCTAATTGCGCTTAAAAGCTTTGCGGGTAAAGTTGGTAACATCGTACGCGTCTATAGAACAAAGTTGTCTATGCCAGGGGCTAATCACAACACAACATTGACTATTAGACGCAACAAGGCAGCTATTAAAGCCTGTTCCGACAGGCCTCGTGGCACTACTGTTGTGTACAAAGGCCGGGGGCAAATTTAATAAAACTACCCACCTAAGTACTTCTTCCGATTAGATTTCGCCAGTGTTAGCGTTTGGGGACATCTTTGAGAATTCTGAGCATATTTGGTTACAATTACGTATTTGAAGTTGGTTTTACTTTCGATGTGGATATGGGTGTGGTTTGGCAACGAAGCTGCGAAGGTAATGTATTAATGTCTTTATATGGATAGGTATATTTAGTAAGAAATAGAAATAATGTAGGGCGATAATACCCAAAGAGCTAAAAGGGTGTCCTCAAATTAATTAAGATTTTTTCTTTAAATTAATGAAATAAACAACAGACAGTCCGCAAAGTGGATGAGTTTGGAGACCTCTTAATGTTGATTAATTTGTCACATTTTATTAGCAGTTAGACGAGCGATAAGAAAAATAGTTATGAAAATGGCTCGGGAATTAGCAGAAATTCTAACCTCTTTTGAAAATTGACTTTTTCATTTAACTGCTCAAACTATCAACGAATGCTTGTGCTAATTACAACTTTAAAAACGTTTTACTTAATAAATCTATACTTCTATACTAATATTATAAATGCGAAAGTAACTCTTGTCTGTGTGTCTGTCTGTCTGTCACGCCTAAAACACTGAACCGATTTTGATTAAATTTAGCATAGAGATAGTTTGAGTCCCAGGAAAGGACATAATATAGTTTTTATCCCGGTTTTTGAAACAGGGACGCGCGCGATAAAGTTTTTCTGTGATAGACAATATACCACGCGGGCGATGCCGCGGGCGGAAAGCTAGTTCAGTATAAATCCCAACTTGCTCTGCCTAAAATTCAGCCAGATTATTTTTCGTCGCCAGCAATGCCTGGCCGCAGTGTCCCATTGGGGCAATTAACACAACTCGGTTTGCTGCTCGCTTGGGTCCAATTACGGGGCTGCCCCAGAACCGCGCAAACTACCCAATTTCGGGGACGTTCGATATTGGTTTTAACAGGTTCTGTGTTAGTATTGAAATTAAATGAAAGGCAGATATCCCTGCACCGAATATTAAGTAAGCTTGTTAATTGTTTTAGAAACAATACGGGGTGGTATAATGTAAGTGAATTGCGCATTAAAGAAGCGCAATTACGATACATTTGGAAAACAATATTACACTGGGTAAAAAATAAGTGGTATAAGTAAAAAATATGTTTAGCAAAAAATAAAAAGGGAAAAACAAAAAATATACTAACACTCTTGCATGTCTGGAACCTCGATAGCATCAACGGAAAACAACTTTTTATTCTGTTGACCTGGAACTGGGATAAACAAAACAGGGTGAACAAAATAGCCTACAAACAAAACAGAACAAAAATAAATTAAAAAAGTATCAGCTAGCACATACGAGTAGCATGTTCTAGCGGAATCTAAATAAAATGGATAGGATTTTAAAAACGCCAACGGAAAAATACGGCTCAAATAAAAATAACAGTGATATTGCATTTCTATGTTTGTTTAACCGCTTACATGAACACTGGAAAATAACGGACTGACGAGTACCAACTATAGAATCACATAGGTACCTACAATGCATATCAACAGAATATAATACAGAAAAATCGAGAGGAAATCCTCTCGATAAAACGAGGAAAAATCATGGTCTGTGTTAGCCTATTAGGAGTTTTTCTGGCATAATTGAAAACTGAAAAAGGGCCACTGCTTTTTATTATCCATGCCCAGCACGTTTTGTTTTTTTTTTTTTACTTTGGATATACTTGAGAGCTATTCCCACCTCTCGTTTCCACCGCTGCAACTCCTGTGTAGCCAGGATCTACAGATTGACCGCCAATAAAAACCCAACCAGTGAAGATCAAGTGTATCCCGGGGGAAAGTTAAACTGTCATTGGACCCGCAACGAAATTAATCAGAAGAAACTTTACATAAGAAGTAAACAAACATAGAAATGTCAGTGTGTGTGTCTGTGATGATTTTTGTATGTCAAACAAGAGGGTTCCTTACCGTTCCCAACCCCAGCCGGTTGCTCCTCGGTGGGGGTCCCACCAGTGGACGCCGGCCGGCTGTCGGCACCCCCGGTGGCGCTGCGAGACAACACAATAAACATATATCCAACCTAGGTATAGAAATAAGGACGCATAAAATACATAATGTACCTACACCTTAAGGGCCTTGCCACACTAGCGGATTACAAGCGTTTTCAAACAGCGAATACGCCGCGACTGCGCGGCGAACAAGTCCCGAATGTGCAACGATTCCGCCTAGATTTTTTCGTCATGTTCGCCGCGCAGCCGCGACGTGTTCGCTGCTTCGCCGCTCCGCTTTAAAAACGCTTGCAATCCGCCAGTGTGGTAGCTCACTAAAGCTTCTTATACACGCTAAGCAATTTCACCGTGTCTGCCGCAGAAAAGACAAGAATTTCGTCGGATATAGCTACGAAAAGTCACACAGTGCGCGTCCGCCGCGTGTCGTATCTAGCTTAGAGAAGAATTATTTCTTGGTCAGCGCCGAAGTACACTGTACACGGTTCGTGTGTAGAAACGACACGAATTCTTGCGTAATGCGTAGGCCCGGCGACTTTTCTTAGCGTGTACAAGCGGCCTTAGTTCTAGTTCTAACTCAAGACGCTTGAGGTAGAGTCGTAAAACGGTCGCCTCATTGACCAGTATAGCACCTTTAATGCTGCAAATTTCATCTATAGGATAGGAGCAAATACCAAAAAGCCCTTGAAAAGCTTAAAGCGGAGTCCCTTTCGGGCATAAAAACTGGGGCAAATCTGAGTTAAAAATTGGGGAAAATCGGACATTGAACCATATATCGGACAGGTATAAAACCCTATATAAAATAAGTTACAAAGATATAAAACCGTAATAATAATGCCCGTTTTCAATATTTTTTAAGTGACCCATATGAAAACAAAATTCCTGTTATGGTAACACACCATAAAGGTCACTTAAAAATTAGGAATTGATGGTGAAAACGGGCATACACTCATCCCTGTAAGAAATAATATATGTACCTACCTATAAATACTGATTTATGATTGAAAAATACTTTACTCTCAAGTGAAAGTAGAAAATCGTTATGTATCATTAAACTGCAGTAAACTAAACTCAATTTAACTAACTGCGCGAAATTTCTTATCTAAACAGTAAAACTTTATTGTCCAGCCACACGTATGACGTAAAATAAACCTTAGTGCTTTATTTTTTTTATTCTTTATGCCAATTTAATTTACTTTCACCTTAAAATCCGTATACTCTTGTTAAAACAGTAAAAGTCTACTACCAATTGACAAAAGATGGCGCTATCTGTAATTGAGATCGTGATAACGAATTTGCATCATCCAAGAATATAAAATTTAATTACATTTTTCATTAAATACTGCACATAGATGTGACTGGGCTGTTAAAAATTCTATCTAATATTAGATTAGTAAGAACAAAATGCACAACAATGATAAATAAAAAATGGGGTTTCAGCAGAATAAATGAGTTTACAAAACTCGGCATGTGCTTTAGAACATGGAAAGTTAGATTCAGAATAAACATTCTAGCATGCAATTTAGAAAATTCATATAAAGTAATCTTTGCTTTTTATACATACGATTTAAAAAGCACCGAAAAATGTAAGTCATGTTGCTGGTAGTTAGAATTGGCGCAAGCAAAAATAGAGTGAGCCGAAAAGGTTGATTTTCAATATGGCAGCATCATTCTTCTGATGATGCTTAGGATGGTCTGCTTCTATCATCATCACCCTGTTGCCAGGGGTATTCGGACAGCCGCGAGTCAGTTCTCTTCTAAATAATCCAGGAGTTGATGAATCAACTTCTCCCTAATACTATATCTTTCTTTCCAGAGTGTATTTAGCTCTTCATCGATCATCCCATACTTGTCAGATCTCCGTTTGTACAATTAGACCCTGTATAAAATTGTGTATAAAGCTTTTTCTCTGCTGCCAAGACATTTTCACCAAACAGTAAGCCCAGAACAGCTCCAAAAACAACTGTTTGACGCCCGTCACTGCCTACTGTTTGGGCGACGACCCTGGGTGGCCATCATGTCACCAAAGAAGACCTAAGACGATTTTAAGCTTTGTTCTTTAATTTTATGTCGAAAAACTACATAGTCGAAACCATATGGTCGAAATATTACAATCAGAAGTGTCGTTTCTGTACAAACATATAGGTATTTTTTCTGTGACGTAGATCCAGCAATTTCACTAAAATTATTAGTACATGACAATGAAGGAAGCATGAAATTTAAAATTTTCTTTCATGATGAAAACCTGTCATGATTAAAATGGAAATTATCTCATTTGATTTAATAAATCTCACATAGGTAATTAAATTTATTTAGTCTGTTATAAGTGCTGAAAAGATGTGCTGATTTAATGAAAAAATATGAAATTGAGTGTCAAAGTGCCATGAAAGCTGATGGAATAAATATGTGAAGTAATATCAAAAGCACCACTTTCAGCTAAATAGGTATATAAAATATATTACACTAGACTAACTTTAGTCATAGTTTTAGTTAAGCATTAATTAGTAAAAATATTTAAAGTATTTTATTAGAAAAATGGGTTTTTAAATTTATTATAAGCACTGCTTACTTCAACATGTTGAAAAACAATAGTGTGTTATTTCATGCAGTTGATTACACAACAGAATAAAGGAGGGGTAATGTTTTTACCAATATTGAAATAATAAACTCCACCAACAAAAATCAAGCAGATAAAATATATCTCATAGTGGATCTTCAGTAATAAAAAGTTAATTGCAGATTGAACACTAGTTTTAAACTACATTTCCATACAAAATATTTCTGTAGTGTTCAATAGAGTTAAAGTTTAATTTGTAAAAAAGTAATTCTATAAAATAGTAAAAAAAAATTATGATTTATGTTCAAAGAAAAACCTTTATAGGATAAGCAAACAGATTTTCAATACCATTATGTAATGTAATCCATAACATAGCCTTTTTGACCAATCCCTTTATTCAATCTGGGTTTTCTAGCATTCATACCCTCAAAGTCTGCATTATGTCATCAATTCATGAAACAACACACTTGCCAAAGCGTAACTTCAAGTACTGCAAACTCATTGATCCGCCAACCCCTCGTACCTATTATACCTAGAGTTATCGTCATCGTCCTTCCCTTCCGGTTTGGGCTCGGCCTCAGGGGCGGGTTCTGCTGGTACGGGCTCGGTGTCTGACGGGGCAGCCTCGTTTTTCCTAAGTCCAGGGATGGGGATTCCGGAACCAAGCCAGCCCGTCATCTGAGACTTAACGTTGGTGATTAAGTCCAGTTTGCTGCCTCCCTTTGTAGGGCTGTAACAATCAAGACGATTTATCAAAGTAGCACAAACTGTTGTAATGTTATCAGTCTGTAATCACCTACCTAAAAAGAAGAAGTTGATGAATCAAATCAAAAGATTTGATTTTACTAAGCAGTAACCATATTGTAAGTTAATAATTATCAACTTGAGTGAATCCAAAGTTATATTATGTTACCTAGAATGTAACAAGAAAATAATTCACTCATATTTGTTCAAAGTAATAACATTTGTTTGATTTTAAAGAGTTATTTAAAAATCAGGATATTGATTAGTTGCAATGGATTGCAGTCTCATGAAATAGGTCAGGTCTAGCATGACCTACTTGGAATAAAGTAAAAAATCAATTGCACCTGCATTATGTAACAGTTTCCAATATTATTATACTAGAACAGTTCTAAGTGGATTCTTATTGGAAATAATTATACAAAATTCAATATAAAACATTAGGTACACATTTTGCAGTGTTTCATAAGAAATTATGCATGAAGCATGACTAATTAACACTGCTTACTGCAACTTTGAATGTGCAGCAGACATGTAAAACAGAATGGTTGCAGTTAAGAGAGTTCCTCCAATCCATATGTTCGATCAATAAGTACTGGAATTCATTTATTTCATAATTGATTTCCTTCTTGCAACATGCTGATAATAATATTGTCTTTTAGATAATAAAATCGGACAACTACTTATACGGAAGACCGTTACAGACTTATAGAAAGGCCCAAAGACGAAAAAAACGCTAACTGTCCTTCTAAAATACGGAAGAATTAAGTTAATACGACGTAGAAAAATGTAAACAAAAGAATCCGCACCTCTGTTTTTCGCCCTCCGCTGCGGCGGCGGCCTCCCCTGTCGCCTCCTTCGTGGGGGTGGGCACTTCCTCATCTTGAGGCTCGCCCTTCGCAGCCCCCATCCACGAACTGACCTGATTCGTAAGCCCTGAAAACATTATCACTGGCACTAGCTAAACAACTACACAACACAATCACTCAGCGATTTCACTACGCTGCGACAGTTTCGCACATGACCCACGGCACGGACAGTCTGCGATGCGGCTGCAGAAAGCGTGATCAGCTGAAAAACTAAATGGAAAACCACGATCGACCAGGAAAATGGGGAGTCCACTGCGCATGAAAACTTGCGCCTATGCGTTATTTGCTACTAGTTCTAGTACCAAGAGGTTCTGCTGAGTAGTATGAAAACCTTTTGCAGTGTAGTCTTTATAACTAATGTTTATAAGGCCTAGAATTGGATACCTGTAAACGCTCGCTACCTAGCGTATGTGGGTTTTTGTACATTTGACAAGTGTCAAAAAGACAGCAGACTAGAAATAGCGTTTCGTTACTGCACTTTAGTAATTTTATGAGGACCTTTAGTATTTTTTAATAATTAAAAATCAATTTTAGTTATTTTCTTTAATTATAGATCGAGTTTACTGTTTATTTTAAATCAAATATTTAATTTCATTATTGATCAATATTTAATTTTTTGTAATAATCTGTCCCAATCCAGCTGTCAATCGTGAAAAAAACATGACGTTTTCTCATTAGTTGTGATTTTTTTGTTTCCAGCGAAATTTTACAGCAATTTTGTTGTTATTTGTGCAAATGTAGTGTTCAGTGGTCCAGGAAATTAACAATTGATCAGTCGATCGTCGTAGAAGTTGTGTAATAATTAAATTCAAGATGACGGAAACACGAAGGATGCAGCTTCACCTTGGGAAATGTATTGAGGATTTGGATAAATTGTATAATGTACCTGATTTGAAGCATAAGAAGGCTACGCTGTAAGTATTTAAACTCTAAAATCAGTGTGAGAGTTAGATAGATGGTTTAGAAACATTGGTTTTGATATATTGTTTTAGGTTATGCAAAACTGCTCAGAAATTGTTTGAAAGTGCTGAGGAGGCTCGGGAGAAGGGTGATGAGGAGTCTTCGTACATATTCTACATGAAATACCTGCGGGTGATTTCGTTTATCACCAAAGATAAGGAGTACCAGAAAGACAAAACATACTTCACCAATATGTTGGGTCCGAAGAACCCAAACAAAGCAATAGATGCCGCTGAGATTTTGAAAAACAGTTTAATAGAAAGGTAATTGTTTTGAGATATTCTAAATTTGGATTTATTTATCTTAATCTGGCTCAATACACACAAGTCAATATAAATATTTAGTAAGATACTATACTCAAATAAGATCTTAGGTCCAACTGTAGTATTTGCCATCTTTTCAGTCTTGTGGTGGTCATGTTGGTGTTCTACTCATTTATCTCCATATTTTTAGCTAACTTTGATGAATTTGAGATTGCCCTCAATGTTTTATTTAAAATTGCAGCGAATAAATGTTTTATTTGTTTATTATTTATGACATATCAGTAAAAAAAACATAATCTCACATAATGAGGGCTATCGTTTTTATACTTAACAGTTGGCACCCCTGGCGATTGACAGGACCTTACTCTACAGTGGCACCATCTTGATGAGTGCAAATGCGATAGTCCTCCTACCACTTAAGCACTCACAAGTTGGCGCCACTGTCTTCGCTACTAGCAAGTGACAGGACCTTACTCTACAGTGGCGCAAACTGGTGAGCGCTAAAACGGTAGCCCTCATTGTGTTTCATTATTTATTACAGGTATGCAAAAGAACAAAAAGCCAAAAGGCTCAATGACATAAAAGAGAATGAGATGATCAAACAAAAAATCGATGAGAACCGTAAGAAAGCAATGGAAGCGGTAACCGTGGTCGAGCCACCACAGCCGCTAGGTCTGCCCAGTAAGTGGAAATAAAGAATGTCTAAGAAAACGCAACCGAAGAGTTAATACTCAAACGTAAATCCTGATTTGTGAAAAAATATAATTTTAAAACCTTTTTTCGTCTGTGTTAGTATCAGTTTTTGTCAAGTAAATTGAGCATTTAAATCAATAGTATCTGTTAAAAAAATTCTAAAATTTGCAGCTACTAAAAAAATGCAATCAGGTCAAACAAAATGAGCTACATTTGGGATAATTAATTAGTGTCTAAAATATTTTAATGTGCTGTTAACTATCTTTCTAATTATTATGATTTAACTAATTATGAGGTAGACCAGGATAAAAATGGTTTGATTATTTTGCGATAAAAATGATTTGACAGCCACATACTCAGAATTCTAATTGGAGTCTAACAGAAGTGATTTGAGTAAAATTAATAAGTGATTTCAGAGATCAACATTTCCTTATGTTTCGAGGAAAAACTACCTAGAATTCGTTAAATCAAAACCAAAAATATATTTATTTGTTTATAGTCTGGTCTGGGAGCACTTAGAATTTTGTCCAATGACTCCAAGCTACCCATCCTTATCGCTCGCGCGTAGTTATATTGCCGTCGCGACTGTGCGACGGGCGGCCGCAGTGAGTGTGCGAGCACGACCGCAACATAATTACGCGCGAGCGATGTAGCTTGGGGTCATTGGAAAAAATTCTACGTGCTCCCAGACCAGACAATAGACTAATTAAATTAGTTCTTACTAATCGTCAAATACTCTTCAAAAACCTTTACGTCTGTCATTTTATTTGCCCTACCAGCACTTTGAGACAAACCATTGGCAAGTGCTATGAAGAAGTATTTAATAATACATATGTAAAAGTGCTATTTAAAAGCCTATTTGCAAAAATAAATGAGTTTTACATAAATAATACTTAGATACTAAGATTATTTTACAGGTTTAGACGAAGTGACAATCAAGAGCGAACAACTGTACACTATCCTCAAGAGTGGGAAGCTGAAGGTGATGATTCTGGACGCCCGGCCCGGGAAGGACTACGTGGAGTCACACATCAACACCCCGGCCTGTATTAGTGTGCCTGAGGAGTGTATATCACCTGGGTAAGTGACAGATAAATCTAGTAGTACAAGTACTACAGTAGAATCCCGATATCAATTAAAACCAGGGGTGTTCCGGATAATCAATTTCAAAGTAAAATCAAACAATAATTAACTTTTTACAATAACGGGACTATTCCCACCTCTCGTTCCCACCACTGCAACTCCTGTGTAGCCAGGATCTACAGCTTGACCGCCACAAAAAACCCAACCAATGAAGGTCAAGGTAACTTTTTACAATAGAAAGGGTTTTCGCCACATCATTTAAATTTTAGACCATTGAATGAAACCATTTCTTTTAACAATGCACTAAGACGAAGTCCACACCGTGTTACGGTGGCGGCGCCTTCCGTTTTTATGGGTCCAGACCCTAAATCAGTAATTCGAATTCGGATAATCGAATATCCGGATAATCGAGATTCTACTGTAGTTAGACTGCTAGTACTTATAAGATAGATCTTGAGAGATAGACCAATCATATAAAAGTGATACAGATGACTGGTGATTCAACACAAACAGCGGTTGTACTCAGAAAAAAATTTCCAAAGTTACGAATGTTGCCATCCCCCTCACGCGAACGAAATGCCAGCATGAGCGACGGGGACAGATAGACCCGTAACTACGGAAACAGTGTTTCAGAGTAGTGCAGTTATACCACATAATTCCAACAAAAGTATCTCTGCAAATAAATACATCAAAAATAGCTAGCTAACGTCATTGAGGTGCAATTCGGGTGGTTCACCTTTAATTTCCGTCTCTTTCTATCGTGTAGGTCCGTCTCTGTCGACAGAATAGTGTTGCTTTTATTTACGACTTACGCGGCGCGCTCGAAAGGAGCGCTGGCTGGACGTTCCCAAACTACAATGTAACACACATGCTCATATTGATTTACCTTATTAGGGCATTCATTAATTACGTGAGGCGTTTAGTGAGGGAGGGGATCAAGCCAATTCTCACCCAATCTTACATGAAGGAAGACGGTCGAGTCAACAAGTAACGAAGCCTAAAAATCGCCAAAATCGCCTTGCGTAATTAATGAGGGCCCCCTAATTGACATTTATACTTACCCTACTTAATTATGGAGGCATACGTGTATTTTAACATAACTGTTCGTCCTCCCAGGCAATCGGCGCACGTCCTAGAACAGAACCTGCCTACAGCGTCGCGCGCGGTGTGGGCCGAGCGAGCTACCATGGAGCTCATCGTCATGCTGGACTGGGCCAGCCGCGCCGTCATCCCTGGACAGACCTTGCACCTGCTCAAGACCATCCTGCTCAAGGTATCATAAGACTAGCGTAGAACAGAACCTGCCTACAGCGTCCCGCGCGGTGTGGGCCGAGCGAGCCAGCATGGAGCTGATCGTCATGCTGGACTGGGCCAGCCGCGCCGTCATCCCCGGCCAGACCTTGCACCTGCTCAAGACCATCCTGCTCAAGGTATCAAGACTAGCGTAGAACAGAACCTGCCTACAGCGTCCCGCGCGGTGTGGGCGGAGCGAGCTACCATGGAGCTCATCGTCATGCTGGACTAGGCCAGCCGCGCCGTCATCCCTGGACAGACGCTGCACCTGCTCAAGACCATCCTGCTCAAGGTATCATAAAAGTCTAGCGTAGAACAGAACCTGCCTACAGCGTCCCGCGCGGTGTGGGCCGAGCGAGCTAGCATGGAGCTGATCGTCATGCTGGACTGGGCCAGCCGCGCCGTCATCCCTGGACAGACCTTGCATTTGCTCAAGACCATCCTGCTCAAGGTATCATACAACTGTGCCTTGGTGGAAACAAGGCTTTAGAACAGTTAAGGCATGTATTCATTAGGCAACATTTGTTTATGACTAGTGTGAAACAAGTTTAACATAAACACAGGTTTCTGAAACTTGGCCGTCCACACTTGCTCTCCACTCATAGCGGGGAGCACGGCAACATGTATCACAAACAACGTTTCATCATCTATGTCTATGGACTGTTTATAAACTGTTTACAGAGATGATGAAACATTGTTTATGAACAGTTTATAAACAGTGTTTATCAACAAATGTTGCCTAATGAATACATGGCTTTATTGACACCAATAGGCTAGTTTCCTAAAAAATAACTTTTAGTCCATCAATTACATTATCAAAAAATATTGGACACATATATTTTTATTTGTCAATCAAAAAAGTAATTACAAAGTTATGATGCATAGAAGCTCCGCTTGACGTCACAAAGTGCTTTGAAGTCACGGGCCTGTTTTAAACTTTGGCGTGCTTTATCACTTTCAATTTTCATTAGTTTGAAGAGGTGGAAAATACGTGTCGAGTATTTTTAG